AGACATTGAGACTCGAACATCTAACCCTCACCCTCACCTTCAGGTGAAATATTCGAGTCTCAATATCTCAAGGCAGGAAAATTCATTAGGATCGAATTTTTTCCCATCGTAACTACTATGACCATGGGCTACCAGTGTGGCAAGTTTCAAGTCAAAATTCGAAAGTCGGATTTTGCTCGAAATCCAAGCTCTATAGGCAAAAACTGACTAAAAATTCAATATCTCAGCAGCAAAGCACAATGGGGATGAATCAACTTAGGGTATTTCACTACTCACTGAGGTCTACAAGATACAAGTAGTCCGAATTCAAAAGCGATTTATAACCTCAAGAGGTTCCCTCGTTAGCGATAATATCTATGGGTATACATACTCTGAAAGTTCAAGCGTGAATGCTTCCCTCACATACGGCAAACGTTACCTTATTGATAATATTCACCAGCGAACCATAAAACGGCAACCACTCTCACTTTTATTTTGAAATTAAATACCAGTTATATGTCGAACTGTAATTGAGAAATACATGAGAAAACTTAGAGAAATCTAAGACTGACGCTGTTTTAGAAATAACAATCAAAATTTTTCTAAAGTAACACCGTTATCATAATTTCTATGACGTGTTAAGAAGAAATATAGAAAGCGAGAGCGTGTTTACAAATAAAACTGCTGTTTACTTATTTTAAGCTCAACCTCAAAGAGAGTCTGAGGTGAATGATTCACCTTGATTGCCTTATGTTCCCGAAGAGAAAACCGCGTAAAACATGGTGGAATCAGTGGATTTCGAGAACCTTTTAAAGCTTCAAACAGTGCTCACAATTACAGATACATCATCCTGAAATGGTTGTGAATTCGAGATCTTGCCGCGATATAAACAATTTGAACACGATCCTGTCGCGAAACAGTCGACTCAATAGCGATCGTGCGGCGTTCACGAATATGTGGGTCCGCGATAGCGATCGCGATTCAAACTGAGTATTGCGCGGTAAGACTGTGGCAAGATTACTATGGCATCGCGACGCGCAGTGAAGCGCGGAAGCATGACGGTAACCAATAGTTTGTTGTTCGTATCTAAATGGAAGAGGCCAATGATTCAAACTTGTCAAAACAGATTTGTCTAGAGGACAATCAGAAACATCTTTTAAACAAAGTACTTCGTCTAAATAAGAACTAATTCTGTGGTCTTAGAACATTCGAGTAAACAATTTTCTACAAATTGGTATACTTGTTCAATTTGTGCGTGTTCGCCTTCGCTCTTTTAGTCACGTTTTTCGGATAGCTCCAAAATCGATTTGGGGGCTGTTTGTACAACAGCTGTATTTCCATACGACTCAACGCTCAGAACCGGGACACTTTTCATTTTGTAGAGAAATGTTTAATCTGCTTAATTATCCAGTTGCAAGTTTAGATTATTTTCTAACTTTATTGCCATAGTTCTTTGAAAAAAGCGAGAAAAGGAGACCGTTAGCTGGACAAACAGTTCAGTGAATTTCTGCTAGAGATTTTGTCATTTTTAACTAGTAGGAAAGTTTCACAGTAAAATGCACTTTTCTCAGAAATGATTAAAGCTCCAAAGTCAAAACTTTAGGAAATTGTTTAATATCATAATGTAAAAAAATGGTAAAAAAGTGAAAGCCAAATGCTGGATATTTTGGGAGATATCAGTAAAATATTTTTCAAAAACTCGCAGGATATTTAGTATGAAAGAAGCAATTTTTGTATATATTTTGCGCCTCTCTAACGAAAGACATGATTAAATTAATTTCTTCTTTTTATCAATATGTTACTCTAACTGTCAGCTACCTTTTCCATATTTTCGATAAAGTCTAACTCAAGTCTGGGCTGAGCTACATCGCGCTGATCCTAGAGAGCCAAAAAAGCACTGTTTAGTCTGCGACGCCATTGCTAGTATAAATTTAGCCAGAAACGATGTATGAATTTGGAATTCATTCACATATTGGAAAAGCAGAATGTGTCTGCTACGTACAATCTATTTGTAAAGAGCAAGTTGAGATGTAATTTTACTTAAATATAAAATTGATTTTATTGTCGCGGGGTATCAGCCAGAATCATCGTTTTCATATTGAGTTGCTAATAACTCGATAATCACTTGTAATTTTGAGTTAATTTTCAGTGGTAGTGAGCATGGTTTAGATAAATAGCATATAAAAATTTCACTAATTTTTCACTCAAATTTCATCGTCGGATAGAGAACCCAATCCTCTACCAAAGCGCTCATTTGTTTTGACGTTTACATGCCAAATTTTTTTTCTAAAAAATTTTTTGGCGCGATTTGGTGCGCAACTTTGTGCCCATTTAATCTAAGTTCGAAAATTTATTTTGGGTTGCATGGGATGAAGGGTACCTCAGACTATCTACCTATGTGTAAATCAGAGCTTGCTAAGGGAAGCCATCAAAAAGAAATCTACGCTTAGATGTAGATCAATATCACTCACTTTTCTTTTTCTTCCTCTGGCTTTGCTGAATGAAAGAAATCGGATACATTTCTATATACAGAATAGAACAAATTTTCATTTTTTATTCTCCGCTGCACAATCTAACGCAATCTAAAGCTGAGCTGTATTCTTTCTGTTTATAAATATAAGTTACACATAGACATATATTTATATATTCGTTTTCAAATAAAATAATCTAATAGATATAAGAACGTTTACGTTTTAATGAACGAAATGAAAAAGAATATAAGTTAATAAGTATAAAAAAAAATAAAATTAAAAGTTCAAAATATAAAATTTAAAAATAACTAAATATATAAAAATTTATAGAATAATGGATCTTCTTCTTTTTTTTTTTGGTAACATCATCGAGGCTGGAAAGCCACAGTACACAGTAAAACCATATGAAAAATAGTATAAATTCTCTGAAAAATCCTAAAAAAGATTCAGCGAAAATTCTTAATAGAGTTGTCATAAAAAATAATTTTTTTCAACACAATGCGCCTACTAGAATAGTTTCGAACTTAACAAGCTATCACATCTTATAGAGTAACAAATTTTCTACAAACTGGTATACCTGTTAGATTTTTGCCAGCTCGTCTTTAATCTCTTAGACACGGGTTTTAGATAGCTCCAAAATCGATTTTTGGGGCTGTTTGTACAAGAGCTAGATTTTCATAACGAGTCAACGTTCAGAGCCGACCTTCAATCAAGAAAATATTGAAAACTGATACTCGTCAGCATCATGTACTGATATCGGTACCACATCGGTAATTTCCATTCTGCCATATCCAGAGTTTACTTTCTCTGCGTGATTACTTATTATAGGCCAAATTGTGTAGAACTGCGTCTATTAGCCATGTAGTTGAAGTTTTTCCAGCAGTTATGAATGGATCGTGCGACGTTTTTAGCTGCTGCGACTATTTGTTCCGATATGTGCCTTTGCTTTTGCTGAATTCCGTTCAGGAATTTTATTCCGTGTGTTCGATGTATCAATGTTTTCATATAGTTGTACATGGCATTGTCCCTTGAAATATCTTTTATGCCACAAAGAAATAGACGACGATATTGTCTTACACAAGAGTCGCTAGATAGTGTCTTTTTATAATAATATTTAAAATCTCTTTGAAGTTTTAATTCCACATGCCAAAGTCCATTCAAAGATTCATTAGTAATCGATTCAACCTTGAAAACGTTTTCAGTCGAAAATAACAGTTCATTTTCACATTGAAACTTACTCTCTTTTTCGATATGATGAAATGTTGAAAATAAACCGATACGATTATCAATATGTATTGCAAACAGCACACTTTCCATTTTCGGACGATTTGATCCATCACCGGCATAAATAAGGGCTACTTGCTTGGAAAGACTGGCCGATACAAACCCATTCATTGTAATAAGTTGACCCACCTTGAGTTTACTCAATTCACGAAACGGTAACTGTTGACCGCGATAAGCAATACATGTTTTAGCAACAATATCCCTTATGTAGCATGTTGAATGCAGACTGGACAACTGATAATATAATTCGCTAATAAAATAGCGATATTTGAATATTAACTCCATATTTTGACTACGCAGAGCTTTGTTGATCAATCGATAGAGGAAACAGTCTTTTGTATACCAGTAAACGGCATCTTTTGAACGATAGTTCTTCTCAAAATCATTAATTTGTTTAAGTATACATGCGTTGTTCTTACAATAAAGTCTAAGTTCCCGTAATAAATCTTGTTTTGATTTATTGACATCAACCGAGCTTTCGTTAATTATCTCATTTAACAGAAAATGATAAGAGACAATATTATCAAAGTTGTTTTCGAAATCAAGGATAAAATTTTCTTTTGCCTCTGTGTATGTCATCCATGATAGTGATGTGTCATCGGCAGAAACAGGGCCTTGAATTATTTGTCGGGACAAAAGTACGCCCGATAATAATAGTTTAAACAAGGAAATCATCATTCTTTTACATCTATACATCTAAAACAACGACATAATTAGGTGAAGTAAATCAAATGCTACTTTGAATATAGATGACTATTTCAAGACCTGTAAAACTAAACACAAAAGATGAAATCAAATACACCAACTCGTTCAAACAGATCGCTCTCTAAACAGCGTTCCAAAACTTTTTCGTATCTCCAAAATGTGAAATAGTAAACTTCTCATTTGGCTATGTGAGGAACCACTGGTCGAAAGAATTAAAGTCATCACACGAGGGAAGGCCACCAAGTGATTCCTCGCTTTTGAGCTGAGACTCAGTTGACCGGGAGTAATCGAGCATGCTGATTCCCAATTTCATAATGGTTTGGGCTAATTTTGACTTTAAAGTCCCGGTTATTGAAAATCTTGGTTTCAAGCCAAAAAACTATTAACACTAAAAAAATTTTTGATCTGTTCAATTGATAGAATACGTCGCGAAACCTACAGAAAACCACTTTTCAAGGTTTCATGAGAGATTCTGAGCGAATTTTTTACGTCAAAACCTTAAAAAAAGAGAGGTAAAACCGGCTATTTTACGCAGTATAGTGCAAAAATTCATCGTTTTTTGCCTTGTTTTTCAACTTATCGAAGACCTCTAATCAATATCGCTGCGTATGTGTTAGACCTGACACACTCCAACTTCAGTTCAACAGGCCCTCGATAAGTTGAAAAACAAGGGAAGAAAAGAGCAATTTTCGCACTATCCTGAGTAAAAAAGCCGGTTTTTCCTCTCTTTTTTTAAGGTTTTGACGTAGAAAACTCGCTCAGAATCTCTCATGAAACCTTGAAAAGTGGTTTTCTGTAGGTTTCGCGACGTATTCTATCAATTGAACTGATCAAACATCTTTTTAGTGCAAATGGTTTTTTCGCTTGAAACCAAGATTTTCAATAACCGGGGCTTTAAAGTCAAAATTAGCCCAAACCATTATAAAATTGGGAATCAGCATGCTCGATTACCCCCGGTCAACTGAGCCTCAGCTCAAAACCGAGGGAGCACTTGGTACCCTTCCCTCGTCAGTTATCCGAGTTTAGTGATCACGTTTAATGACACGATTTTCGGTCTTGTACTATACTACGTTTCGCACTCACCCTCACGTGGCTACGTCCTGCCATATTTTAATAATTGTATCCAGACTAAAAATTAGCTCGTATTTATAGCAAATCTTTTGCTGCCTAGTACCAACGAAACGACATAAAAACGTACGAAAACTTCAAAATGTATGCATAGAATAAACAACGCGTTTAGAAAGCACTAATAAGGCAAGCGCAGCCTATAGTAAGATGCATTTTTAAACATGATAACAAAAGTAAAAGTTGTTGTGAAGCGGATTAGGATCAGCTTTTCATGCCCTATCCTTTGAAAATGTCGTACATAGCGTTACACTAAAGTGAAAGCAAGACTAAACAGTACATATTTAGAAGTATATATATATACAGAGAGAAAGAGAGAGAGATTTTATTATTTTATTTCTATCATTCTCTATTTCGTTATTCATCACGATTCGCTTCACTATAAAATTAGTGTTTATTCTGGCAACTTCCCGGATTAAAAAGTTAACAAATTTGAAAGTACCCTTCCTTAGCTTTTCTGGCAGATTGTAGTACACAACTTGTACTCTATACTATGCTGTTTTTTAGAAAAAACTCTCTTTAATTTTTTGGCATATAAAGATCTCAATATTACGGAATAAAGTTAGTAAAATGTATGTTAAAATCACTATTAAATTGAAACGGATCTATTTTACTAACTTTTATTTATGATACTAACAGCTCTATTTCTTAAAAACTAAAAGGAACCTGTTTCTGAAAAATATGGCAAATATATTACACTTTGTGTATTTTAAATTAGTGTAAGAAGTGAAAAGGATTCCTCTTTAAATATTCCACTTTTGATTAGCCAATTGAGCAGAATGTAGAATTACTTTGGAGCTGTGCGATAATTCAGTCTTTTTCTTACTGTGTCCTTTAAGGAGAAAACGTTTTATGTGCTCATATACGAAAAAAGAATCTGAATTAAGAATTGTATTGGCGAAGAGAATAAAAAATAATGATTATTTTCCTCTGAGAATTATTTCTAGCTAACTAGATAATAATGTATACAGATGATGTAAGAAATACAAATTACAAAATATTATATACAGAATATGTACACTATGTGTAATTTGTTAATTTCGAAGAAAATGAGTGAGGTATAAGATAAGTATAACTGGATTATGTTACCATGCAAAAGCCAGACAAAAGCCATTTATACGGTGTATTTTATTCAATGTACCGGAATTCACCTGGCTTACAAGTTGCTTTTCGAGGAAAAACAAGACAGTTTATTAATTATCAAGCTAAAATAAACAAAATTTAAGCTTTTCCTGAAAATTTCTCTTCTCTCTAAATAAAATGTTTGTATTTAACGTCCCTTTTTTCTATATTCCTCGTTTAATAAAAGATATTGATTAAAGCAATTTTGTAACATCAAATAATACCGA